ATAAATTTGAATTTGTATTTGATTTGATTTTCAAATCAAATATTCAAATGTCAAATCGAATTGCGGAACCCTAATTACTACATGTCAATACTTAACTTTTTAACTAATTTTTCCTTAAAGTTCTATTTTGGAGTTTCTAATTTAGAAGATTATGTGTATCATCATAGGTTAATGATTTATTATTTTATCTCTTCATTAATTGATTTGGTTAATTTCATAGATTATTTGTGCAGATCATTATACCATAGATTTTTGTAAATCAAATTTTGTAATTTACAAGTTTATCATATTTACTGTATTATCCCTTAGATTGTATAGTAGGCAAATTTGTCTGCAAAATTAAAAAAAGTGTTAATTTCTTTATAAAATGCTAAATATTAATTTTAGTAATATCATTACTATATAAAAAATAAAGTTTAATATATATTATTATGGTCAGTTCTTTATGTTGCTTAAATATTAAATTTTCTTCTGATTATACTTATATATATATCAAGAAAAAATTAGTGCCAAGAAAATTCTTGCAACATTAATTATTAATTCTCAATTAATACAATTGGTTTAGATAATGTACGTTGGTGATACTTTTTTAGCCTTATACTATTGATCAGCACTTTTAATATTTTGCGATCCATTATCCTTAATTTGTATATTCCATTTCTAAGATCTGCATGAATTTAATATGGTTCTTTCCATCTTTCTTCTAATTTATTTTTGTCCTATATTTCAGTTTTATGCATTAAACTAATTCTCCAACTTTAAAAGTATATTCATTTATTAAATTTTTATCATGTCATTCCTTTTGTTTTCTTTGAAATTTTTCTATGTTTGATTGTGTTTGATTAATATTGTGATCTATTCTCCCAGTTATTTACCATACACGATTAATAGATCATCTTTATCATTGGTTTCCTTTGCTTGTATCTTTTGTGTTTGTACTTGAAACTCTATTGGTAAAATTGCTTCTCTTCTATAAGTTAAATAAAAAGATTCATGTTGTGTGGTATTATGCCTTTTTATGCAATATGCAAACAATGTAGAAGGAACAAAGGTATCCTAATCATTTTTATTTTCATTTGCAAATTTTGCCAAGGTTTCATATAACATTCTATTAAATCTTTCTACAAATCCATTAGTCTGGGGATGATATGTGATAGTCAATTTATGTTTTACTCCCAATTCATTACACAGAGAATTCAGCATTTCATTGACGAAATGTGTTCCTCTATCTGTCAAAAGTTCTTTTAGACATTCATGTCTACAAATAATATCTTTATAAAAAAGGGAACTACTGATGATGCTTTAGCGTTTAGTAGCATTTTTTCTTCCAGTTATTTAATTAAGTAATCTGTTATTACTACAATATACTTATTTTCTCATTTGATCATTGGTAAAGGTCCAACAATATTCATACCTACACAATCAAAGGGTTATCCAACTTTTATTAGATGCAATAGTTTAGTTCTCTTATTTTTGCCTCTCCTTTGATACTTATCAAAAGTTTGAATATATCATCAAACATCATCATACATTTGTGTCTCCTCTAATACAAAGTGTCTAGCCAGTGGATCAGAATACAGATTGTATAATATTATATTTATTTCATTAATTTTAACAACTTTTAGTAAGCAGTGTAGTTTCTGCTTATTCTTTTTATAAAGCTGTCCTTCTATTACAATAAAATATCTTGACTTTCATTTGATTGCTGCTTGTTACTGTTAGTTTAATTGTGTTGCTATTTGGAGTTCTGTGAGATAATATACCAGTAAATACTATGTATCTGAGTCCATGTTAAGTTAAATCAGAAAAGAATTATCGTTAGAATATCCATTATAAACAAATCCATTTGCTATTGAATTTGTAGTTGAAAATTTACTAGTGTTGTATTTGGCTTAATGTATCTACGTTTGTGTGAAGTTTTTAAGGTCAATTAATAATTTCAATTCCATAAGTGTTAAATATTATTAGCTAATATCTAAGTCTTCCAATAGGATTTGTCATATTCTTTAAGTAAGTCAAGGCAGCGTGATCAGTAATTACTGTAAATTTATATGCATACAAGTAATAATGATAATATTTAACTGCCTAAATTACAGCTAAGCTAAGCATTCTTGTTCTGTAACTGAGTATTTTCTTTCAGGTAGTCTCATTATCCTACTTGTGTAAGTGATAACTTGCTCTCTATTTTTTTCATCCTTTTGAAAAAGTATTACTCCTAAAGCAAAAGAAGAAGTGTTAGTATAAAGAATAAAAGGTTTATAGAAATCAGGATATACAAGTATTGGTGGTATGATTAAACAATTTTTAAGTTATTCAAAGCCATCTTATTGTTATTGTATTCAATTGTAAGGAGTATTTTTTTTTAATAATCTATTTAATGGTTCAACTATGTTTGCGAACCCTTTGATAAATCTTCTGTAGTAGGATGCTAAAGCAATAAATCCTCTTAATTGTGTTAAGTCTCTTGAAATAGGAAAATTCCTAATTGTAATTATTTTTTCTGGGTTTGTTTGAATTCTTTCCCTACTGATTATATGTCTTAGAAAAGATAATTTTTGTTTAAAGAAGAAACATTTTCAGGGCTTAGTTTTAACCCAGTTTATCGCAATCATAAGAACACTTATTTCAAACGTAAAAAATAGTCATCAAATAAGTTTGAACCTATGTTAATATTATCAACATAAACGATTATGTATTGCAATAATATATCTCGTAGAACAGTATCCATCAACCTTTGAAATGTTACAGGGGCATTACAAAAACCAAAAATATGATATTGGATTCATAGATTCCAAATCTGATTATAAAAGTGTCTTTTCTCTATCTTTGAGTTCTAATTCAACTTGTCAGAATCTGCTAGCAAGATCCAATGAAGTAAACCATTGTGAGCCTTGTAATATTTCCAGCATATTATCAATGTGTGGTAGTGGATAGTGATTCCTTTTAGTAATATTATTAAGCTTTTGGTAATTGATACATAAACATTTTTTATCATTCTTTTTCTCCACTACAACCACAAATGAAGTCTATTAACTTTTTGATGGTTTTATTAAACCAGTTTTTAATAATCAATCAATTTCTTCCTTTATGAATTGTTGGTTGTTGTATGAAGTACGATAGAATCTTTACTTAATAGGAGTTGCTTCTATAGTATCAATGGTATGTGTGATTACATTTGTTTTTTCAAACTGAAAAGGTTCTTAAATAAAAGATTGGTATATTGTATTATGAATTTGTTAAACCTTTTAGCCTATTCTGGTATAAGGTTTCTAACATAAAAGTTTTCTTTTTCTATTTCCTTATATTGATAAAAGAATTCCCTTATAATTTGATTTTATTCTGCTGGACTTTCCATTTCGTGATCGATTGCTTGAACTTCTTTTACAGATAGTTTTTCTGTATAGTAGAATAGTTCTTCTTGCTTTTCATCCTCATCATTAATCTTCTTATATTCTTCTTTCTCATATTCTTTCTCGCTTTCATCTTCATTAACTGATTCAGTCCTTATTTTGGAGATTAACAAAATTTAATTGGTATATTTATTGCATAGTCTCCCTAGTAGAGTGTCATGACCTTATTTTTATAACTTATTTTAACACTGGTTTTTTCTAACCAGTCATTTCTTACAATAGCATCATAGGAATCTGTTCTAGTTATTATAGCATCAAAAGAAAATATTTTTCCCATAATTCTTAAGGAAACATTGGTAACTTTTTCTAAAGGTCTTCTTCTTTCACTATTAATATATACCATTATTGTATTTAAGACAGCATTACATTCCATTCCAAGTTCTTCCATTAATGCAGCGAATATAATACATCCTAAATAACTTGAGTCAACAATTAATAATATTTCCTTATTTTTAATATGTGTTTGACAGTATATGGCAGTTGACTTTTGGTTATTATTTTTAATAGTTATTTGATGTATTCCATTTGTTGCAAAGAGTTCATCTTCTTCATTTTCGCCTGTATCCATTTTCTTAGATCCAGATGGTTCATTAGATGCTTTATTATCATTGTTTGGTTTAGATCCTAATAGAGGTACTTCAAATAAAAATGGATTATCTCCTTGTGATATTTCAAGACCTTTACCCTTATTTGGTTTTTTATTAATTAGCTTTCTTAATTTATTCATTAGATTTCTCACCACTTTAGAGTTTGTTGCTAATAATTGTCCATTAGTTATGTTAGCTAATTGGTCAAACAGTTGTTGTATGTTATAGAAGGGTATCATATTAATCACAGGTGGCACAGCTAGGGGTTTTTTTTCCTTTTGGTTTAGTAATCCTTTTTGCAACTGTATCTCTTTATTGATTTTCTCTTTCTCTGACAGAATCCTTTTCATTGACTACTCATCTTCTTTTATTTATTAATACTTCCTGTATTGGTAAGTTAGAGAGGACAAAAGAAGGTTTCGTATCATTACTCTCATGAGGTATACCTTTTAGATTAAAGATTGATTATCTTGTTATTATCCTAACAATTGCACTAACAATTGCAATGCTTAATTATTTGGATTATTTGATGGATTATTATTAACTGAATTATTAACAAATGGTGACACATTAATTATCAAATTGTTTACTGAGATTGGGTTTACAACAGGTAATAGATTAACTGGATTATTGGTCTATTGGTTACTTTGATTATTGAATAAAGTATTGAGAGAACAGTTTCTTTTAATATGATCAGGCTATCCACAGTCATAGCAGGTGAGATTTCCTCTATTATGATTTGCAGAATAGTTATTCAACTAATTGTTATTATTATTTGATAGACTGTTTTGTAGAAACTCATTTGATTATTCCTTTGGTTGCTTTGTGTTGTTTCCTATATTGAGTTGTTGTATTTGTTAAAATAATGCAGCAATAGCATTATTTAGAGTATTTATTTGATTGTCAACAATTAAAGGGTACTGTATTTATTCATATAAGCTTATACTGCAGTAGTATTCTTGTAGGTTAATTCATATTGTTTAGTTCTTTCCAATGCTACATTTCATGTTTGGTTATTGAATGGTTTTATCAACAAGTGGAGCTCTGTCAGAAGTCTACTAACAAGTCATCTGGCATTGTATATGTCAGGATATTAAAATGCTGGTATTTTTACTTGTTGATATAATTTGAATAATGCACTAGCATAATCATTAACAGATTCACCAGATTGCTATTGTTTTTTCTCCAATTCAGTAATCCAAATTTTAACAAGGATTTGTGATCTAAATGCAGCAGGAAAACTAACTGTAAAATTAGTGTTATTATTGTTACCAGCTCATGCTATTATACAATTTGCATGTCCATTCACAAGTGCTTGATTATTGGTCCACTATGTTGAAACTAAATTTTTCAAATATGCTAGTACAACTTCTAGTTTTCAGTTATCATTGATTCTATTTACATTACAAGTATGTGTAAAATCTTTTAACCAGCTAATTGGATCTTAGTTTTCTCTATAAAAATAAGGGAGGTCAGCGATACATGATTCTCTTCAAGGTGAATTAGCTATTATAGCATTTGCATTAGCTTGAAGTTGATTTATCAAATTGAAGACTCCATTATTAGCATTTGGAGATGGTGTGTTTGGATTAAAGATGAGAACTGTAATTAATATGTTGCAACTTTTAATGTTGCAACTTACGTTGCAATTAGTTTTAACCTATATATGTTGTAACTAATTTTAGCTTATGTTGCAACATTTTGTAAATTTGAAATCAATTGCTGTACCATCTTTAGTTTGGATTAAAAATTTCAGCTATTTATTGTAAAGCCATAATGAGAACTTATACGTCAGCTTGATTGGCTGCCATTTCTTTAAATAGATTTTCTAAGTTTAAATCTTCATTGGTATATAATAGACTATTATTAGGTAAATAATTATTAAAATTATCACTAGAGATAGTTGAGTCAGTATCATCAGATGTAATAGAGGATGGTACAGAGATTATTTCTGATATCTAATATAATATAAGTAATGGGTCTGAAGCAAATCCTCTTATTAGAATAAAGGTGTTGTATATATTTTGCTTGACTATTATAGGAGATTCAACAAATCTAATATTATATTGAATACTGAAAATGAGATTGTGTAGAGCGTCATTTACTGTGTCAGCAGTACCAATATAGAGATAGGTATAATTAAGTTCTTCCAAATATTGTTGTGTATATCTGGTAAATGTCACTGCAGGATATTCAGCAGTAATCCAATTCCAAAATTGTTGAAAACACTCAGATATAACTTGTTCAAAAGGATAATAAATGTAACAGAATCTATCATGATAATATGCAGTGATATTATTCAAATTAAAATTGATGTGCAATTGATTGTGTTATCGATTATTCAAATAAAGTTTATCAAACATAAACATTTTAATAAAAAAAAAAAAATTTTTAGCAGAAGACACCAAGTGTTATGGTCAGTTCTTTATGTTGCTTAAATATTATAAGCAGATGAATAATATGTGTGGTAAGCAAAAGGTTGTTAAGCTTAAACTATTCATCGTTAAATTAATAAAGATTATTTGCTAGCAGGAAGTTTAAGTACATATAAACTATAGAAGAAATAAATATGAATAATTATATTAAAGGGTCAGGTCGTCTTTATTGATATAAATTTAAAGAAGAATGAATTGTTTAACGAGCAAGGATAAGTTTAGAGATAAATGTTATTGATTTATTAGAGAATTGGTAGCGACTCTGTCATTTATTGAGGCAGAAATATAAGATATTTATATAAAATACATCAATATGAAATAGATATTTAAGATAATAAAGAAATATAAGAAATATAAGAAAATAAAGATATTAAATATATTAAAGAAATATGTGAAATTAGAGAAATTGGAGATCGCTAAGAAATTAATGAAATCTGAGAAATTAGAGAAATGGTAAAAAGTTAAGATTCGTGATCAACATGATTACCATTCGTTAATTAGGTTAGATGCAGTATCGTGCGTTATAGCAAGACTATCACTAACAAAGTTTCTAGTAAAATTAAGTCATAAGGCATAGTAAATCATATAATCTGTAATGTGATTTTACTGAAAATGTTCCCATATATGTATTCTATAAAGAATAAATAGTATATAAATACTTTATAAAATTAAATAAAATTATTACTATATAAATGTTTATATAAAATTATATATATAGTATAATAACTGTAATACAAATTTTAGGTATTAATCAGAAATTGATACCTACCTATCTAGCAGTTCATTATAAAAATTAGCATATCTATTTATATATAATTTGATTTTAAAAAAGTTTTGATATAAAATAATAAAGATTGAGTAAAATTCAATAACATATTATTATGAACTATCAAAAAATTTTGTATACTTATTTAAAACTTAAAAGTTTTTAATTTTTTTTCAAAGTTATTATTTAATATTATATAAAAATTATTAAAAAAATAAAATTTATGCTAAATTATTTTTTATTTTTTATTAATCTCTATTTTTTGAAATAACTATATGTATGTTTTTAGGTTTTTTACATATTGTAAAACTCCTTGATATAAACCAGCCTAATATATTATATATAGGAATTATTCAATTTCTTCCGAACTCATAAAATTCCAGACTATATAATTTAATATTAAGAGATTTATTATCATTATCTATTTTACAAAAAAAATATGTATCAACATATATGATAAGAAAGTTCAGGCATGTAAATCCTAATTAATAGAAAAATTATATATAGTAAGAAATGAAACATAAATGATATAATGCAGAGTGATAATTAATAACAACCTAACTTTACCCTGAAAAAAATGGTAGCCAGATTTATTTTCTAGTTCACATACACTATTAATATATGACAAATAATGGATGTCAATTAGATATTTTCTATTAAAATATTCTATTTCCAGAATAATTATAAAATTGAAGAACAGTTAGGATGTTATGTTATGTTATAAATGCCTAACCCTAATTCCCTTATCCTTATCCTAATCCTAAAGCCTTACCCTAATTTACCCTAATACTTATCCTAAGTTTAACTTAACTGGCATATAAATCAAGCTACCATTTTTTCAGGACAAGCTATATAAAATGATGATTATTTATATAATCATATGCCTGAGTTTTTCTATTAGCATCTTCCCCAGCATCACCATCAAAAAAGCTCGGATCATGTGATTACATAATAATCTGTCGTACCCACCATGTTTTATTTTTTACTATTTAATCTGGAAACTTTTTTTTTTAGGGTGTAAAATCCTATTAGCCATCTGTTATTCATCACAGACTCCACCCTCAACTTGTGCCGTGGCATTAGGGTAAGGTTGGTTTATTAAAATTAGCCACATTATACATATATAATCACATGACCTGAGCTTTTTTTGTCACATGTATAAAATTCATTTAAAAAAATAAAGAAGTTTAAAAACTTATTTACTTTTTATTTACTTGTATATTAACTTCCCAATTTTAATCACAAATCAATTGAAAAATGGTCAAAAAATTTGCAAGTCAAATCCTTGAGAGCCCTATAAACCAGAAAGCAATGTCATCTGACGGTAATTTTTTGGGACATTTGATATTCGCGAGGTGTTATTACTAAACGGTAACCACGAGAGATTATAAAAAAATGTAAGTATTTAACTTTTAAAACCAAAAATAATACACAATAGTACATACATTAGAAGGATGTGAAGAGATATTCTTTGATGGAATATACTACGTGAGTTATTACTTAACTGATTCATTATAAAATTTTTTATTTTAATTTCAGGATGAAAGAAATGGAAATATTTATGGTTTGTTATTTTACAATTTATATAAATTCAAACATTCAGCCAAGACAGAATGCTAAGAAAAATAAAAAAATGAGTGGCACTTAAATGTTACAAGTTGAAACGATATTAAAATATAGATGTATCAAAATTTGCAATACAATACGTAAGTTTTCTTATATATTTGAATCTTGACATTCGTTCACAGTATTAATTTCTACTACATTCTTATCTAAATGTATTTTGCATCGCAATTTACCACAGTAAGTTGGCTTTAACTTTAATTTTGGATATTAAATTTAGAAAAGAACAAGTTTTTTTTTTGCACATTCAGAACGTTTCTTTCATAAAACTGTGATTTTGAATTAAATTGTTTTATAGACTTCCATTGATCTTTGGACTCATTACTTTTTATTTTAGATAATGATGGTGAAGATACATACGATATAAACCAATTCACAATATATGAATTCATGCACAAATTATTTCTGGAAGTATATGTATAGTGAAAATAATTGCCTTCACACAAATATGAGTTCGTAAAAAAAGACTTAAGGGTAGTATTTTTTCATTTTATACATGCTGATTTATTTTATGATTATTAGTGGTGGCTTTGGAAATGTCCATCTTGTTGTAATGAACAATTAATTATTCGCGGCAAAATTTTCTAAAAGTTCACTACAAATGGAGTTTAATGAAAAGAATTGTAAGACTTGGTCAGTTAATCTCACATTTAACTTAATTATAACATTGATTTTGTCATTATAGGTATATGTCGTGAAAGCGCATGAAAGATTTCAAGATAAAGAATCAAAAAACAATTATTTGATAATGATAATTAACAAACCTTAAAGTTAATAATTTAGAGGAGATGGTTACTGTATATCCAGAAAACATAATTGTAGATAACGAAAATCTTATTTACGGATTTTGGATTCAGGTACACCATTGCTATGTAAGTAACTTTTTTTAAAACAAAGTTTGTAATTCATTTAAATAAAAATCTTTTTTCAATTAATCTGCCCCTGAATATTGTAGAAAACCTCCAAAACGAGTCTGCAGATTGTTCACCAGAACACCTAATATTTTATTAATATAAGGGAGGTTATTATTGCAATCTGTGAAGGCAGGTTTGAAAGTATTTTTGTCAGAAATTGAACATAATTTGCAGATAATTAAAAATGAAAGGAACCTGTGATTAATTGGATGATAGAAAGTGGCACTCAGATAGTAATAAATAAATATCTATTTTAATATTAAAATTTAATAAAATTAATATTTTAGTTGCGGAATTCATAGAGGCGTGCATTAAATTGGATATTAACTAGAGAACTTACGTCAATATCATTGTAATTTAATATTTAGGAATGTAGGATATTTAAATAAAGGTGAAGGAAGATGGCGATGATTGGGAGAAAATAATTTAACATAGGAAATTTGTCATAGTTATAACTCCTACCACAGTTGTCGAGAAAATTATATACAGTCACACCCCTCGGGATCAAAATAAAAGGTGTGACTATAGCTATATAGAATGATTTTTTATAGCATTACTACCAAAGGGGAGTTACTATAAACCCATTGTGATTATATAAGCAGTTTTATATAGTGTTCTGGCTTATAACAGAGGATTTTATTTATGAAGTGATTGTACAGGAATGACTGTATACTGTATTGGTATATCGATCCTTTATTAAAAAATAGAGAATATAATTCTCAATTTTTAAATACGCACTTTGATTCCTTTATATTTTCTTTTAAAAAAACATTTTAGAAACAAATAATCAAATATCAAGAAATTATAATATCTTCTAATTTGGTTGTGTAATAGTTATCTTAGCATTACGGTAACGACTCCGTGATATGAGCTTCTAAATTCGATCAATCTACGAAAATATAAAATAAATTAAACCAATTATTATTTACATCACTGAAAAAAGCTAACATTCACCCATATTTGAATACCAATACATGGAACTTCATAATGGCATGTCATTACAGTGTTCGGAAATGACCTGGTCATTTGACCATTTAAATGATTTGTCTATTCCTTTGTCATAATCATAAATCATTTAGCATTTGTCATTTCGCAAATGATCTAAATGACAAATGATAAATGATCAAGATCATTTAAGATCATTTAAATCATTTGTCATTTAGTCATTTGCTTTTACAAAAAATTTAGCGATACTCTTAAAGAATCGCAAATTCTTAGCGAGTTTCGCAATTTTATCTCTCAACGATAAAGAATCGTTCCAAAGGATGATAAAAGGATCGTTCCAGTAGAACAATAGAGGAATCATTCTAAAGGAACGATTAAAAGCATTATTCCACAAGAACGATAAAAGATCGTTCTAAAAGAACAATAAAAGATCGTTCTAAAAGAACAATAAAAGATCGTTCTAAAAGAACGATACAAAAAAATCATTTCAATAGAACAATAAAAGGTCGTTCCAATAGGACGATAAAGATCGTTCTAAAGGAACGATAAAAAAAATCGTTCCAATAGGACGATAAAGATCATTCTAAAGGAACGATACAAAAAAATCGTTCCAATAGAACAATAAATCATCGTTCTATCGGAACGATAAAAAAAATCGTTCCTTAAGAACGATAAAAGGTCATTCT